TTCATTTGATGATATAAATGTTGGCATGATTTGATTTCGATCTATTTTATCAAGTTTTTCTTTATAAATATGTGCGAATAAACAATGATTAAGACGTGATTGAGTCATAGAACTTCAAAGTGTATTTTTCACTCGATTTAATGCACTAAATGCTCTTTCAGAAGTTGCTATAGTTATTGGAATAGTTAAATAAAGTCGAATTAATTTATCAAATTCTTGAAACATTTGTTTTCCAATTTTACAAACTGTAGAAATTTTGATAATTAGTTTTATTTTCATTTGATTTGTGTTAATAACAACTTTAAAACAGTCTGAAATCATAAATGCTTCAGATTTTAATCTTTCAATATCAATATCATCATGACAAAATCCATAAATGTTTTAATGTAGTCATTGGAACCATCAGGTGGCTTATTAGATATATTAAGAATAAAATGTTCAACTTCACATAACATTTTAAAATTCTTTTGTGTCAATCGAGTTTGAAGCACGTTAATAGTTATTTCTAATGTTTCAACATATTGTTTCTGATAAAAATCTTCACAACTTGCATAATTTACGGGAACTATATTTGATTCATATCGTCGTGGTTGTCTTCGAAGTCGAGGTAGAATAGGTTTTTCTGTCAAACCTTCACTATCTTGAACTACTTGATTATAAAACAGTTCAAAATTAATATCATATGAAAAAGAAGAAATGATAGTTTCAACAGATGTATTTGATCGTTTGCTGAGTTTATTTTTTACCTTGAATACGTCGAAAACGATGAATAATTGTTTCAGCAGCAGAAAAAAACATCTTGTAAACAACAATCAGAAGTTTGCAATGCACGTGATAGCTTTTCTGTATCTGTAAATATTAAGTGACCTAGTTTTAATCCAAAAACAAATAGTCGAATTTGTTTATCTGTTCATATAAGCCATTTGCTTTTATACCAGGACCATCTTATTCTTCACTTATTGTGTACAAAGCTGCTTGAACTAAAATTCAATTTTAATTTTAGATTTTCGAATGTTTTTTTAATCTATTTAAATACTATTCAAGCTTTAACATAAGTGCTGGTGGATTTAAAATAACATTTCTTTCTATCGATGTATGAAGTTTTTAAAAGC